GCTCAGGCCACTGGGGAGGCTGAGCCACTGGGCCCTACAGGACACCTAGCACACAAAGCCTCTCTAGCAACACAGGGAAGCAGCCAAAATGCGGAGACAGAGAAACAGGTCACGATTGGCAGAAATAGAGGAAAGCAAACGATTGGATATAGAATTCAAGGCCACGTTTATAAGGTTTTTCAAGAATTTTGTGGAAACCGCCGATAAATTTAATGAGTCTCTCATTAAGTATAATGAGACCATGAAGGACATGAAAAAGGACCAACTAGAAATTAAACATACACTGACTGAAATAAAGAATAATTTACAGAGATCCAACAGAAGACAAGAGGATCCCAAGAAACAAGATAAATACAAAGAAACAAAACATACCCAACCGAAAAAGAAAAAAAAACAAAAGAAATTCCAAAAGTATGAAGATAGTGTACGGAGCCTCTGGGACAACTTCAAGCGTACCAACATCAGAATTATAGGGGTACCAGAAGAAGAGAGAGGGCAAGATATTGAAAACCTATTTGAAGAAATAATGACAGAAAACTTCCCCTACCTGGTGAAAGAAATAGACTTACAAGTCCAGGAAGCACAGAGAACTCCAAACAGAAGGAATCCAAAGAGGACCACATCAAGACACATCATAATTAAAATGCCAAGAGCAAAAGACAAAGAGAGACTCTTAAGAGCAGCGAGAGAAAGAAACTCAGTTACCTACAAGGGAGTACCCATACGACTGTCAGCTGATTTCTCAACAGAAACTTTGCAGGCCAGAAGGGAGTGGCAAGAAATATTAAAAGTGATGAATACCAAGAACCCACAACCAAGATAACTTTATCCAGCAAAGCTATCATTCAGAATTGAAAGTCAGATAAAGAGCTTCACAGATAGGAAAAAGCTAAAGAAGTTCATCACCACCAAACCAGTATTATATGAAATGCTGAAAGGTATCCTTTAAGGAGAGGAAGAAGAAGAAGAAGGTAAAGATACAAATTATGAACAACAAATACACATCTATCAACAAGTGAATCTAAAAATCAAGTGATAAATAATCTGATGAATAGAATAAACTGGTGATTATAATAGAATCAGGGGCATAGAAAGGGAGTGGACTGACAATTCTTGGGGGAAGGGGTGTGGTGGGTACGGGAAGAGACTGGAAAAAAATTGTGCACCTATGGATGAGGACAGTTGGGGGGCAGGGGGTAAGGGCAGAGGGTGGGGTGGGAACTGGGTGGAGGGGGGCTATGGGGGGGGAAGAAAGAGGAACAAATGTAATAATCTGAACAATAAAGATTTAATAAAAAAAAATATCCAAAAGCAAAACATAGATACATACAAAGTTAAAAACAGAGAAAAAAGAAGATAGAAGCTATTAGATAAGGCAAATGTGAATATCAGGGTGGGATATTGGAAACAAAACAGAAACCGTTATTCTACAAACACAACCATGAGTCCCCAGCTCCTGGAATACAGTGTGCAGTGCTGAAGGACTAACTACAAGAAAGATGTCAGGTGCTCTTTGCTGAGGTCACATTGAGCTGCGAGCGACTTCAGGGGCGTCTTTAGGAATCAGCAACATGGCAGAAGACATCAAGACCAAAATCAAGAACTACCGGACTGCTCCTTTTGACAGCCGCTTCCCCAACCAGAACCAGGCCAGGAACTGCTGGCAGAACTACAGGACTTGCAGCGCTGTGAGAAGGCAATGCCTGCTGAAGGGGGTGGTGCCTCTGTGTGTGAATGGTACCGGCGTGTGTACAAGTCCCGGTGCCCCTTATCCTGGCTTTTGGCCTGGGATGACCGCCGGGCAGAAGGCACGTTTCCTGGGAAGATCTGAACTGGGCATCCTCCATCCTTTTCCCAGGGGCGTGAAGGGGGCCTGGGTACATCCCACCCTAGAATCCTGAATCATGGCTTAACTAATAACAAATACTTGTTGGAAAAATGTAAAAAAAGGAAAAAGAAAGATGTCAGGAAGCTGGAGAAGTCAAAAGAAAGGCCACTAAAAAGATCCAGAGGATAGGAGACTGCCAGGTACGAAGCTAAAGGGTTCCGATTCTTCAGCGGAGATGAGCGAGGCTGACATTGCACTCATTCTAAAGCCAACACATTAAACGAATGGATAAGAACAGGACGGCCCTGGCTGGTGTGGCTCAGTGGATAGAGTGTGGTCCTGCGGACTGAAGGGTCCTGGGCTCGATTCCGGCCAAGGGCACAGGCCCAGGTTGTGGCTCAGCCCCCAGCAGGGGGCATGCAGGAGGCAGCCGATCCATGATTCTCTCTCATCACTAATGTTTCTATCTCTCTCTCCCTCTCGCTTCCTCTCTGAAATCAATAAAAAATATATTTTAAATAAAAGAGAAAGAGCAGAATGATTAACCCTCACACAAGCCCAGCATCAGCGAGAACCCCTCAGCCGCCTGGGGACAGTGCGGGACAAGCGTAGAGCAATCCCGCGCTGCCGCAGGAAGTAAAGGTAGGGCACCCACTTGGGGAGGCAGCCTGGGGGGAGCCCTGTGCACTGCAGGGCAGAGGGGACCTGCAGAGCAGAAACAGGTCGGCAGAGAGCGGGGAGGGCGCAGCCTCAGGAGAGCGGCCAGTCTGTTTCCGCACCCTCCACCTGCTCCCCCGAGGCACCCTGAGTCTCTGCTCCTCACTATCCGAAGAGCTGCACCCGAAATATGAACGATCCCGTGAACACGAGCGTGTTCCTGAAGACACCACTCAAATGTGGGGATGGGCTGCCAAGGGAAGTGAGACCCTGCCGGCCTGAGCCTCAGTGCAGACCTCGCAGCACCAGCACCACGTGGACATGCTGACGGGTCTCCATGTCAGTCTGCAAGGAGCAACACACACGGCTGTGTACCCGCACGATGCTGGGCTCAAGGAGCTGACAGGGCCACAGCTCAGAAACCGTTATTCTACAAACGGGACCATCAAGTCAGCCTATGCCCCGGCCCGGGCATCAGGCTGCCCAGCGGAGGAGTGGCCCATTGCTTCCCCTGTCCTCGGGGCAGGACAGGCTATGGAAGGCGGCTGGTGAGCGCTGACCTCCAATGCCAGGCTCCTCCGCCTCTGGCGGCACATCTGGGCCACAGCGTGCTGACTTACCATGGCTTCCACTGATGAGGCAGGGGGGCCACAATGCCCTCCCGGGCCAGCCACATCAGCTCCGGCTCCTTGATGGGATCAATACCTATCTCTCTGGCAAAGTCAAAGATTTCTGCAAGGAGAAGCAGGAGGGTAGAAAAGTAAGAGAGGTGGAGAGGTGGGTGAAAAGAAAAGCAAGTCACAATCACATGTGAAATAATAAGAAATATATATGCTGGTCTCTGCCCCAAGGTCCTGAAACAGCTTCTAAAACCCTTGCAATCTCCCGAGTCCTAGGAGCTCTTCTGCCCAATGAGGAGACTCTGGCTAGAGGCCCTGGATGGGGCTGGTCACCAGAGGCCAAGCCATGATTAGAAGCTTGGAACTTTGAGGCTCACCCCCATTCTCCAGAGAGGGGAGAGGGATTGGACATGAGTTCATGGATCATGTCTACATGATGAAGGCTCCATAAAAATCCCCAGTCAGAGCTCCCCGGAACCACGCACGTGCCAGGAAGACGGCACACCCCAACTCCACGGGACAGCACCCCCGCACTGGGGACCCTCCCAGAGCTCTCCATGTCTCTCTTCATCTGGCTGTCCACCGCACCCGTTACCATACCCTTTATTATATAACAAACTGCACACATAAGTGTTTCCCTGAGTTTTGTGACCTGTTCTGGCAAGTCATTAAACCTGAGGACAGGGAGGTGGGAACTGTGGTCAGAGTACAGCTGACACACCCACAGAACCGGAGACCCCTGGGAACTTTGGATTAGTGTCTGGAGTCGGGGGGGGGAGTCTTGTGGGAATGAGCCTTGACCTGTGGGGCTGACCCTAACCCCAGGCAGACAGTGTCAGGACTGGACGGAACAGCGGGACATCCCGCTGCCAGGGAGCTGGCTGGGAGGGGAAACTCCAGGGAGCTAGTGTCGGAAGCATGGAGGTCAGAAAAAAAAAAGCAGGGTTTCTCCCCCAAACTTTTCCACTCTGCCTTTACTTTCCAATTCCCTTCAGGGAGCAGTTATTAGTTCTACATAATAAATATGTGATTTTCTTAAGTTACAGTTATAAAGGGTACATCTGAATCCAGGCATGCTGTTACTATACTCCAAGAATATAATCTGAAGCCACGTTAAAGGCAAAGAAAATAAGACCAGGACTTCAGTGTGGGCTCAAGAAGAACAACCAGACCGTCCTGAACCAGGGCAGCCTTCCCAGGACCCAAGCTCTACCAAACCTGCAAAACCTTAATGCAAAAGTCCTCACCACTCACACAGGCCTGGACTGAAAAAGGACCAGCGAATGAGCCCCTTGGAGACCTGACCAATACACCACGGGCTTGTGGGTCACATGCTTTCTGTCACCACTTCTCAACAATGCCCTTGCAGCAGGAAAGCAGCCACAGATTATAAATGGACAAGCAACAGGCCCAGCCAGCATGGCTCAGTGGTTAAGCATCAACCTATGAACCAGGAGGTCATGGTTCACTTCCTGGTCAGGACATGATCCCCAGTACAGGGCGGCAGAAAGTGCAGGAAGCAGCCGATCAAAGATTCTCTCTCATCATTGATTTTTTTTTTAAAGGAGATTTTTTGTGTTTTTTTGTTTTATTGATTTCAGAGAGGAAAGGAGAGGAAGACAGAGACAGAAACATCAATGATAAGAGAGAATCACTGATTGGCTGTCTTCTGCACACCCCACACTGGGGACCAAGCCCGCAACTAGGGCATATGCCCTGACCAGGAATCAAACCTTGATATCCTAATTCATAGGTCGACACTCAACACTGAGCCAGGCCAGTCATGCTCATCATTGATATTCCCCTCTCTCTCTCTCCCTCTCCCTTCCTCTCTCAAATCAATAAAAATATCTTTAAATTAAAAAAAAAATTTTTTTTAAAGCAAGCAACAGACCGGATTAGGCCTATGGGCTATAGTTTGCCAACCCTGTTCTAAGCCAAACAGACTGAGCAGCCCTGTGTATATACCATCTTTGCCTCAGAAGAATGAAATTAAGTCAGAGCTGATTCCTGCCCTGGAAGAACTATTGCAGCACACACCAGGCCTCTTACCTTGCTCACTGGGGATGTAGGTCTCATCATAGTCTTCCTCCAGGACCAGCTGGTCTCCTATGCGGATGGGTCTTCCAGCCATGGCTGGTCTGGGTTCCAGGCCTAGACCCCAGAGACCCCCGCAAAGAGAGAATGAGTGCCCAGCTTAGATGAGACAGTCAGAGCTGCGCCATGGGGCCCCTAGGTCCAACCAGACCCTGCAAGCCAACCTCGCTGGGAATGTGCCAGACGCTGGGGGAACTCGGGCCTCCCGGCTCCGTGCCCGGGAAAGTTTCCTGAGACACATCTCCCCCAGGCTTGCTGGACCCTCGGTGACCACAAAAGATCTGAGAACCCGACTCAAGAGGTTGGCTTCCTACCCCTCAAATGGAGAAAGAACGAAGAGGACAGTAGCCCCGGCTGGAAAACCCTAGTGATCAAAATAACCAACAGCACACACACACACAGCTCCGCACACACCCGCCAGCACCAGCAGCCCCCATGGTCACACCGTCTCAACACGGCCCCTATTTACACCCAACAGCGCCTCGGGGAGCTCACCCTCTAGTGAAGGTAGTGCACTCACCCTCAATAGCAGTGCCCGCACTGGGCACTGGAGAGGAGAGTGGAGAGCTGTGCCAGGCGTGGGAGCACCATGCGCAGGCCGGTTCTGGAGCTGGGCACCGCGGCGGGGGCAGCGGTGGAAAGCCGGGTAGACCGTGTGTAAGAGCCTTGACTCTGCCCCGTAGCAAAGGGGGCAGGGTCCCTGCGGGCTTCAGTGACAGAAAGTGACACGGTGGCCTTTCTTTACAATGACAGCCCTGGCAGGAGTGGCAGGGCTGGATCAGAGAAAGGAGACTGGGCTCCAGAAACCACTGAGGTGGCTGCCATCCAGGTGAGGGGCCTGAGCGAGGGCAGAAGCAGTGGGAATGGAGAGGAAGGAACAGATTTGAGGGCTGCGTTGATGTTAACAGGACTAGAATGAGAGGAAACGGGGAAAGGAGTCCAACTGGAATCCATGGTTTCTAGCTTTGGGGGCGGGACGGTGCCAAATTCTCCAACGGACAAGCTGGTGCCATTCTGGAACTGCTCCTTTCCTGTCCCTGTAACCACCTCGGACCCCAAGGCCAGGCCATCCTCCCGGACGGTAGCACCTACGCTGACGCCCAGTAACACAGAGACAAGCGCCCTATAGAGTAGCTGCCGCAGCCCTGACTGTGTCCCCCCCTGAGGAGGCGCCAGCCACAGCTGCAACCAACAGCAGTCTGAGGAGCCGGTCCTGACCTCTCCAGCGGCTGCCACTGTCCCAGAGGAGTGAGCAGGACACCCGTGGGAGCAGGAAAAGCTGTGCGCACGGGGCTGGGAGCAGCCTGCACCCCATGCCAGGAAACGGCCAGGCCTGGTCCTTCTGAATCTGCTCCAAGATTCCCAGAGAGGGACCCTGATCCACGGCATGGGATCCATGAGGGGCCATTACCGAGGCCCCCTCTGCAGCCTGACAGCTGAGGGATGGACAAGAGAGGTGCCTGGCCTCCGGACGCACAGGGAGCAGTCTCTGCCACCTCTTGCTCCCACGGCACCACGGAGCAGCATGGCAGGAGGGCAGGCTGATGAAGCATCTTCTCCCTCCGCAGGCAAGGGCCCCGCGGGAATCTGGCCGCTGCCACAGGAGCCCAAAGATGCCTTGCGGACCTCGCGCTCCAGACTCGACACACACGGACTCTGCAAAGGCAGAGCCAGAAAGGCCAAGAACAGCGCACATGGCCACTGTCTGGGGCTTAAGGATCTAATCCTCGGGGTTGGGAGGAGAGAGGGAGGGAAGATCTCTGGGAGGGAGGAACCAAGGGTGGCCTGAACATCAGGCTGAGAATTAGTCACTCCAGCAGGCCGTGATCTATACAGGCCTTGTGTCAGCTACTCAGAGAAACCCTGTATCTGAGAAATGGTACCCACCCCTGAACACATCCCATCTCTAGAAAGCACAGCAGATGCAATCTGTCCTTGTAGTGAAGTGCCTAATTAGCTATGGACATAGTTATCCACGTCAAGCTATTTAAAGGTCAGAAAGGTCCTGGAAATCTGAATTCATGGATCACTTAACTGTCAAATGAACCTGCCAGAAAATTTTTTTAAAAGTGTGGGTTATTGTCTACCTTCTTTCCTCACTTTGCCTAGCTCCAGAAAAGAGTGGGCAGGGGCAGGGCCAAAAGAGCAAGAACTATCGGACTGAGGGAGGTGGCAGGAGAAAAACCATATTTATTTAATGGCTACCAGAGACCATTTACTCATTCGAGCACAATGCAGGGAGCTGCGTTTACTTATGGCTGCGCACTAGAGATGTAATGGTGAGAAAAGCCGTTCTGCTGCTACTCCCCTTGTCTATGGCCTCAAGAAGGAGGGTGACAAACATCCCAAAGTCACAGATAAATGTACAATTACAAACGAGGTCGAGCTTTGGAGGAAATGAGCCTGATGTTAGCCTATGCTGAGGACTGAAGGTATGTATTCACTGGACAGAGTGGAAAAGGTGTTCCCACAGAAGCAGCAGCGCGTGCAAAGGCCCTGCAACAGGAAATCACACCAAGCAAGAAGCAGCATGGCTGCCGACGCTGCTGGGGACATGGGTGGAAGCCACACCATGCCAATAAGTTGGCCTTCATAATAAGAAAGCCAGGAAACGTTTTTTTAGCTATATCTTTTGAAAAGATCACTCTGGCAGCCACTGGGAATGCAGACTGGAATGGAGGCCAGATCAGAAGGGAGAAAATCCAAGTGGCTGCAGAGAGATTAATAAGAAACGGTGAGCTAGTGTAGGTGAGAGATGGTGATAACCTGGACTCCAGGGGTAACAGGGAAGATGAGATGTCTAAGATAGCAGCCTGAGATCTGCTACTGCAAGTACATGGCACATGTCCTAACATTTCCTTCCAAGTCTGAGACTGTCGATCACAGCAGCCTACATGACCTCAGAACCATCAATAATGTACTCTTGCAGCAATCTGAATTCACGGACCGCTTAACTGTCAAACGAACCTGCCGGTCAGGTGAAATGCGATGAGATCTACTGGCCACCAGGCCTGAGAACCTCTATGGGCCATAACAATCGCAGGGAGGGGTCATCTAATTGCACTCATCCATCTCCTCTGCCAATCCTAGAAAAAAATCTAGAAGAAAAAAAGTGGCTCATGTACCTCCTCCAGGCAGTAGATCACTCTGGCAGCCACTGGGAATGCAGACTGGAACAGAGGCCAGATCAGAAGGGAGAACACATGAACACAGTTTTCATGTGCTCATAGGCATATTACTCCGAATATTACTTTGTTCCTGGGAATATGTTCCCCTCCCTGTTAACCACAAACTTATGAGAGCCATGCCTCCTCCCTCCTCTGCATTTTCTGACCAAGCCCAACACTCTGGCAGCCACTGGGAATGCAGACTGGAACAGAGGCCAGATCAGAAGGGAGAACACATGAACACAGTTTTCATGTGCTCATAGGCATATTACTCCGAATATTACTTTGTTCCTGGGAATATGTTCCCCTCCCTGTTAACCACAAACTTATGAGAGCCATGCCTCCTCCCTCCTCTGCATTTTCTGACCAAGCCCAAAATAAGGTATATAAACTGTAGGAGCTCTGTCTGCTGTAAACCACTAACATAGAGCCAAGGAATCTCAGAGTCAAAAAACCTATAAGACCTTTGGTCTAACTACTCCCATGCCAGAATCTTCCTCTCTATGCTGTAAGTGACACACAGCACAGAGGTCCAAGGACCAGCTTCAGGGCCAGAAACACCTGAATTCAGCTCTCTCCTTACTGGCTGTATGACCTTAGGCAAATTAGGCAAGGCCCTTCACCTCATGTGTATAATGGAAACTCATGATAATCTATATCAAAAGGTTGAGGATGAAATGAGATACTTCTTATAAAATATTAGGAGTAATATGCCTCTAGTATGCATATAAGATCTTTGGATAATCTCTTCCCACCCTCCCCCCACCCCCTTCCTTCTGAGATTCATCAGTCTGTTCCATGTTTCCATGCCTGTGCATTGAGCTTCTGCCCCCTGGTGGTCAGAGTGTGTCATAGCTACAAGAGGTTTGGTCAGTTTGCATATTAGCCTTTTATTATATAGGATGCTCTTTCTGCATATGTTTTGTGACGTCATTATCTATCAATTTCCTAACTTATATCCTGTAGGCAAAGTAGGCATGGTTCTAGTAGGTGGCATTAATCAATGTCATGAGAGTTGGCAGAAAATGAACTAGTAGGAAAATGGTTAATCTGGTTTTGGTTATTGGGCTTCTGTTCAGGAACCAGCATGTTATTTGTCATTTTTACCCATTTCACAATTTCACCTCTAGTGCAATGACTTTTGGAATCTCATAATTAGAATATTATACTTGACAAAATGTTGTAGGTGATTTTACCATCATTTAAGGCAAATGGT